AAATATATTTGGTTTTCCATGAGTGTGTTTGAAATGCACTAGCCCTGCATGCCCACTGGGGGACTAGGTTCAGAAAAATGCATACATAGTTTGCACTGTAGTTTGCACCCATGGGGATGAAGGCCCTATTCAAATTACAGTCTTTACTTAAAGATGGCTAAACAAAAACACAGTATGGTGAGAAAGTACCTGTCTTCCCTGGAGGAGTTTACAGGAGCTCTTCCTCTGGATCTGGAGAAACCGAAACTGATCCCTCAGGTTATTAAATGTGGATAAGAAGCTTCTAGGACAGTGGCTGGGCTGTGAGTCCAGAGAGCAGGGTCTAGACCCCTCTCAGGCACAAGCTTAAAAGTGGACCCCTGGGGAACCTGGAGAAGTCAGTTAGATCTCTAGATTTTATTTTGCTCTTCAAAAAATGGATAGATAGGCATCTCACAAAGTGCATGGGTTCTGCGAGATGTGACTAGATTTTATAGCAAAAAGGAGTTTCATGGTGAAATCTTTGGCACTGCTGCAATAAAGCTGGACGAATTCCTTTTACTGTGTGGTTTTTCAGTGCCTTGACTAAGTCATTGTTCATTGTGAACCTCTTCCAGTGGTGGGTAGTGGGGATGTGCCCTTTTCTCTCGGAACATTTTCTGGAATCATGTTCCATGAAACACACTGTAGGAAAGCATGGGTGAGATGTTCTCTCATATCCTTTCCAGCTCTGGCCCAAGGGTTGGCGATGGGACAGGAAGCCCTGGCCATATAATCCAAGCTTTCCCTAGGTCCACAAGGTCAGAACCTTTGTCCCTGCTGTTTTCTCTTGTGGACACGCTCTCTCCCAGGTATTACCGGGGTCACACCCTAACTACCTTCAGATCTCTCTCCAAAGCCTATCTTATCAGGGGATCCTTCCCTGATTTCCTGATAAAATAGTACCCTGGAGGACCTGTTCTCTTCCCAGCTGCCTCCCTTGCCCCAGAACAGTCCACAGCCCACTGTGTTGTCTTCTTTCTTCTCACTTCTACATGCAAGTGTGTAGCACAGACATTATAGGAGTTTTCCTGATTATTAAATATATGCTGTGTGTTTTAAAAAAATCTTTTTAAGAAAATGGAAAGGTAAAGAGTGAAAGTTCCTACAGAGTTTCATGACCCAGAGAGAAGCATTGCCAACTGCTGGCACATGTCCTACTAAACTTTGCTCGCAAAGAGACACACACAAAGGGCAGGAAGGAGGAGAAAAAAATGCACAAATAAATAATTGTCATTAGTATAAAAGGCCCTCTCTTCTTTGCTCAGTTTGTTTTTTCCATCTGATGTTTTATCCTGGCCAGTAGCTCCTTCCAGGCCTTTTCAACCTCACATTGGGCAACCTGTTAGGCACTGGGAGCTGCTGCTGAGGCCAAGGTGCTGGCACTTCACCCCCCAGCCCCTGCATCCAGCTCAGGGTGTCCGCAGGTACCCTCATGGAGTTGCTTCTGGCCCTGAAAGGGGAGCCCCAAGCACTTGGAGCGGGGCCTCCCCAGGAGGGACTCGGAGAGGCCACTGGGCACTCCAAATTTCCTGGAGAACTACATTCACAGGGCAACACAGGTCGTGCCATGATAGCCATTGCTTGTTGCTCAAGCCTATGATGTGTCCACACTTATGGGGGCTCCCTCCCAACTTCCTCTTGCCTCCTCTTCCCCACATCAGACCCCTAGAGCTGTTCTACTCCTCTCCAAATTTACTTTCAAGAAAGAATATGAGTCATTGGCAACTTGGACTGCAAATGACAGCTACAAGGCCCACACAAATGCCCTTTTCAAGTGGTTCTAATTATATAAGATATGCCAGATGGAGCAATATATATGCATATTTATTGCAGAAAATTTGTAATGCTTACCTTTGACTCTCTAGGATAAATTAAAAGAAGTAGAATTAGTGGGCAAAGATTTCCAGTGCTGGCTCACGTGCCCCCCACTGGGACCCAGCCTGCAAGCCAGGCATGTGCCCCACTGGGAATCAAACCTGCAACCCCTCAGTTCGCAGGCCAGCACTCAGTCCAATGAGCCACACCAGCCAAGGGCCCTTAGAGTTATTTTTAGTATAAGCCTGAAACAGCCCTCTCCAGATCCATTACTGGAGCATCATCCTGCACACCAGAAGGGTTGCAGGTTCAATTCCCCGTCCTAAGTTGTGGGTTCAATCCCCAACCGGGGGGCATAAGAGAGGCAACCAATGGAAGTTTCTCTCTTACAATGTGTGTGTGTGTCTCTCTCTCCTCACCTCCCTCTAAGATCAATAAACATATTCTCACGTGAGGATGAAAACAAAAGCTATGTCCATTGGGTAGCCTCAGTTCATTCTCCCATGTGCCAAGATGGCAATGTTCACTCACCAACATTAAGTATTAAGCACGTCTTAATATTTGTCAGGTTAATTGACAAAAATCAGCATCTCATTTGAATTCACATTAGTTTGATTTTGAGAGAGACTAGCCATTTTAAATTATTTTCTCAGAAAAATAGCAGCTGATCTGCCGCTTTCCCTTTCTCAAGGGGGAAATAGGTTCTTTCCTTCATTTTTTTTCCTTATAAGAGCTTGATTCAAAGAAGGCTTCGGAGACCAGATGGGGCTCTTGAGTTGGCCATCCTATATCAGGTGACTGAGCTGGTTATAGTCTTTAAACAAAGGTTCCAGTACACACAAAATCCTCAAGGGTGCATTTTCACTTTGGAAGTGGCATGTATGTGGTCACTTAGGAAAACACTGTGGTTTCAGACTTAGTGGAGTGATATAATTTTTCTTGGGAATGTGTGGTAGGGGCAGCCATCTGTGTGTCTTTAGTAGTTGGCTCAGAGCCTGACACATTGTAGGTACCCATAAATGCCCACAGATTGAGTAATTAAACTGTGCTGCCTCTGTCCTTAAGGATGACCCACTGTAACCCCAAATGAACTATCCATACAAAAAAACATTTTGTACATGTGGATGAAAAAGAGGCACTGTAATAAATCATAAATTGCTAATTGGGCCAGTCACTCGAAGCACATAATCATCTAATCCTTGCTTTCTCCCACCCTCACGGATTCTTCCTTACATTCCCTCATTAATTTTAAATGCATAAAAGAAGTTGCAAAACTGTTATTCTTGGGAGCATTTGAGATCTTGTTCCCTGACCTACACTGTCAGTAGTAGCTCAAATAAGCTCATTAAAATTCTCTACAGGTTTGTATGTTCTTACGTTGACACCCCCACTTATTTAGAATTCCTTAGAGTTATTTTTTTAAAGATTTTATTCATTTATTTATAGAGGGGAAGGGAGAGAGAAAGAGAGGGAGAGAAACGTTAATGTGTGGTTGCCTCTTGTGTGCCCCCCAACTGGGGACCCGGCCTGCAAGCCAGGCATGTGCCCCAACTGGGAATCAAACCTGCAACCCCTTAGTTCGCAGGCCAGCACTCAGTCCAATGAGCCACACCAGCCAAGGGCCCTTAGAGAGTTATTTTTAGTATAAGTCTGAAACAGCCCTCTCCAGATCCAGGAGGGGATATCTTGTAAATTCTGCCTTACTGGTAATACTTCTGGAAAATACTTTCTGGAAAGCACCAAGGGTGAGTGGTACTATAAATATCATACCAGGGGCAGGTCTGACAAGAGTATTTTAATGGCTGGCACATCCTTGGGTCTAGGCGGGCTGACCAGGCTCCCCAGGTGAGCCAGTGTGCCATCTTTCTGGAAGACCACGTTCTCAAGATTCTAATTGGCCTTTTCTGGTCACCTCCTTTTTTCCCTTGCTTATAGGGGAGGATTGCACTTGACTTAGCCAGAGTTAATAGAAGAGTTCTAGTACAGAAGTTTAAAAGGAAGAAGGTGAAAACTGGAATCCCAGAATGGAAAGAACTGAAGGAATAAGTATCTGGTGTCACGGTTCTCAGCCTTTCTCAAACTAGCAACTACTAACCACTTATGGGAACTGTCAGTAATCAGGCCAATGTAACTGTCAGTTCAAGGCCCAGTGGTCAGTGGGGAGCCAATGAAGACTTCAGAAGAGGAACATGAGTTCTAGAAGGGTCACTGTCTGCTATGCACAGGAAGGGTGGCTAAAGCCGAGCTGAAATTGGAGGTGTGGAGACTAGATGAGAGGCTTGGAATAGGGTGGTAAAGTAAATGGCAGCAAATGTTTGGATTGGAGAAATATTTCGGAAATAAAATTAACAGTATTAGATAACTGACAGGGGAGTGGGATGGGGGTGAAGGAGAGGGAGGAGTGGAGGTGACTTCCAGGCTTCTAGCTTGGGTCTTTGGGGCAGATAATGGAACCATTACTGAGTTGGAGGAGAATGGGAAGAGCTTATTTGGCAGGAAGATGAGTTCGGGGACAAGTAGTGTTTGAGGCACAAAAGGGCCTCCAGCGAGAGGTGTCCAGGTGGTTGAATATAAGGGTGCGGTGCTTGGGAGAGGGGTCCGGACCCCTTTACCCAGAAATGGAGAGGAAGCCATAGGAGGGGTGTCCAACTTTTAGCGTCTCTAGGCCACCCTGGAAGGGAAAAAGTTGTCTTGGGCCACACATTAAATACACAGACACTAACGAAAACTGATGAGCAAAATAAAAGGTTTTAAGTAAATTTACGATTTTGTCGTTGGGCCGCATACAGAACCATCCTGGGCCGCATGCGGCCCGCAGGTCGCAGGTCGGGCACCCTGCTAGGGTATAACAAACAAAAGTAAGGAATTGGAAAGGTTACCCAGTTTCGAATGTGCAGAGTCGGGGCGGTCAGTAGTGGGGTGCTCAGCCAAGTCAAATATATGATTGAATGGACCCGTGGCCCTGCTCTCAAACTATCTGGGTCGGACCCCGGCAGGGCGGGTAAGCGGTTAAGTGCGGAGGAACCGGATTTGGCCCCTCCAGGTCCGTCACTTCTTCCCGCCCTCTCTCCCTCCTCAGCCATTGGGCAATTCCACTGTCCGTCAAGGGCCCGCCTCCGTAGATGAACCAATAAAGGCTGATGAGAGGACGCTTCCTTCTGGACTTTCACGACGAGCTTACGGGGAGAAGTCTGGCGGTGGCAGCGAGGCACTCTACGCAGGCTTGGCACGGCCGGGACGGATCTCGGCGGCAGAGGCGCAGGCTGGTGAGAGCAGTGCGAGGGTCCGCGTTTGGGAAGGGGCCATGCCCGGGTTATGGACGCTTCTGACCCCACCTGGCCTCGCCAGCGTCGGGGCCTCCCACACTCACGGCATCCGCTCAGGTGATGGGGTGGAGATCGGAGGGGAGGTGAGGCGAGGTGTGGTGAGGTGAGGTGAAGGTGAGGTGAGGGGGCGGGCCCGCAGGCGGCTTGGAAGAGCAGGGCTCTTATCCACGGCCATCCCACTGGCGCCACGCACCACGTGGGCTCGCGCCTAACCAAAGACCCTTGCTGCATACCAAGACACTAGCTAGGTACTTTGGCCCCCGTAGTAGCTCTGAGAGCTCGGTGTCTCTACTGAATCCCCCTGTCTTACAGGCTAGGAGGCTGGGGCTTAGGGACGTGGCCGCGCTCGGTTTTGATGGAGATCTAGACGGGTTGGACTCAGGAGACCGCCCTCTTATCTATTTGACCACGGGTCAGCGACTTGAACTTGGAACCTGTTTTTTTCTCTTCGGTATGTGAAATTGTTTGGGTCGAGGCTGCGTCTGACCACCTTGGGTGGAGCCCCGTTGCCTGGCTTCTCTGCAGGGTCCAAGGCGGGGGCCGGGGTACCTAGGGCGGGGAGGCGCCCTCTGTTCACCCTGACCCCGCTGGTCCTGCCCCCAGTTCAGTGGGATGGGCTGGGAGGAAGGAGGATGATCCTGTCAGTTCCGGGAGCTCTCGGATACCCCAACAGGCAACTTGGGGAGGGCAGGAATCATAAACGAAATCTGAAAACATGTGGGAAACGCTCTTTCTCCGGGGTCACCCTACAAAATAGGAAGTAGGAAATAGAACAGGGTTTTGTTTGTTTGTTTGTTTTTGTCTAAGGAAAAATACCACCAAAGGCTGTTGAAGGTGCTAGGAAACTGCTTCATGCTTTTGCTGAGGCAGATGTGAACCTTTTAGAAATTAGTTTGGCAATACATCTACACCCTCTGACTACTAATTCCTCCTTTGGGAAGTAAGGAGGATACAACCTAAGTACAGAAAAGGTTGATGGACAAGGCAATGCAGTTTGGTGTTCGATCAATGGCTGTGGAAATGACCTTCACATCCTCAACAATAGAGAATAATTAAGTAAATTGTGATTGTTTATACCAAAATGGTATATTACACAACAAAAATGGTATATTACACATCCATGAACTATAATATAAATAAAATGCTCTTAACAGGAAAACTGGATTCAAAGTTGTGGTTACAACTATATAAAAATGTGTACAAAATGACTGGAAGATAATACACCTAATGATAAAAGTAATAACTACCTTTTCTGGGAGCAGAAGGGTCATATTTTATTAAATCCTCACAAACCTTATGAGACTAGTATTCCCGTCCCACCAATGGACACCTGGAGCTCAGGCATTGTGTCTGATGCTAAACAGCTAGTGTTATACCTAGTATGCTATAGGGCTTTTAAAAATCCATATTTAGCCAATATTTAAGGACTCGTGTGCCAGGTACAGAGCTGGGCCCTGGAGAGCCACTGGTAAGGCAGCTGTGGTTCCTGAATTCATGGAGCTTAGTGGGAAAGTAGAACATTTATAGTTTGCTGGAGAGAGTGAACACGGGAGCTAGATACTGGGCTCTAGTGAGGGAAAGGATTTGGGAAAGAGGAAAAGGAGGTCCTGGGTTAGCTGTGAGGAATGAATGGACTCTGTGGAGAAGCCCACAATGGCTCTGCAAGAGTGGAGAGTGTATATAAACCTGTTTTTCACATTTTCTGGGATGTGTTTATGTGTTATAATGGGAGGTAGGGAGACATGCTTAGGTATTTTGAGTTTAGTCAACTCTTTTAAATAGTTCACCTTAAATGACTTTTGCTCAGGGTAAAAGCAAAGTAAATGTTTTCGGAAGTCATTGTTATTGAAAAATTAAGTTTGAAACTTTATAAAACTCTTTAATTTTCAGGTTTAAAAAAACCCTTTTGCTGAAGGAACACATTTGGTGGTACAGTTTCAGAATGTCAAGTACCGTGTCCTACTGGATCTTAAATTCTGCAAGGAACAGCATTGCCACATTACAAGGGGGCAGGCGTTTATATTCAAGGTGTGCCTCAAGTAGGAATAAATCAAAATGGATGCTTTTTTCCGGGGCACCAACCACCCTGAAAAACAATGCCCTGTGTGGTAGTTTTGCTCTGCCAAAAGCCTACAGACACACATCAACAGAGGAAGATGATTTCCACCTGCAGCTCAGCCCTGAGCAAGTAAATGAAGTGCTACGAGCCAGTGAGTCAGCCCACAAAATTCTAGACCTCGTCAGTGGAGTCCCAAATTCGGTGTTGCGGTTTGAGAGCAACCAGCTGGCTGCCAATACCCCAGTGGAGGACCGAAGAGGTGTTGCCTCCTGCCTGCAGACCAATGGGCTGATGTTTGGCATCTTTGATGGACATGGTGGCCATGCATGTGCACAAGCAGTAAGCGAGAGGCTCTTCTACTATGTGGCAGTGTCACTGATGTCTCAGCAGACCTTGGAGCAGATGGAGGGAGCAATGGAAAGCATGAAGCCCATGCTGCCCATCCTACAGTGGCTCAAGCACCCAGGGGACAGTATCTATAAGGATGTCACATCAGTCCACCTTGATCACCTCCGGGTCTACTGGCAGGAGTTGCTTGACCTGCACATGGAAATGGGATTAAACATTAAGGAAGCGTTAATGTACTCCTTCCAGCGACTGGATTCTGACATCTCGCTGGAAATCCAGGCCCCTCTGGAAGATGAGATGACAAGGAACCTTTCACTCCAGGTTGCTTTCTCTGGGGCAACAGCTTGTATGGCCCATGTCGATGGGGTTCACTTGCATGTGGCAAATGCTGGCGACTGCCGGGCCATTCTTGGAGTCCAGGACGACAATGGCTTGTGGTCTTGTCTGCCCCTTACCCATGACCACAATGCCTGGAACCAGGCTGAGCTGTCACGACTAAAGAGAGAGCATCCTGAGTCAGAAGACAGGACAATCATTATGGACGACAGGCTGCTGGGTGTCCTCATGCCCTGCAGGGCATTCGGGGACGTCCAGCTGAAGTGGAGTAAAGAGCTGCAGCGCAGTGTCCTAGAGAGGGGCTTTGACACTGAGGCCCTCAACATTTACCAGTTCACCCCGCAACACTATTACACTCCACCCTACCTGACTGCTGAGCCTGAGGTCACATACCACAGGCTGAGGCCCCAGGATAAGTTCCTTGTGCTGGCCTCAGATGGTCTATGGGACCTACTGGACAATGAGGATGTGGTGAGGCTGGTGGTAGAGCACCTAAGTGAAGCAGGTCTGCACAAGCCAGACCTGGCCCAGAGACCTGCCAACCTGGGACTCATGCAAAGCCTGCTGCTGCAGAGGAAAGCCCAGGGGCTTCACTCTGCCGACCAAAATGCAGCCACACGTCTGATCAGGCATGCCATAGGGAGCAATGAGTACGGAGAACTGGAGCCGGAACGTCTGACTGCAATGCTGACATTGCCAGAGGACTTGGCGAGGATGTACAGGGATGATATCACTGTCACTGTAGTGTATTTTAACTCAGACTCAATTGATGCATATTACAAGGGAGGTTAAGAATCTTCTATCCTATTGCCAAGGTTAACGTAAATGTTCTTCGAAGACATTTTCACTTACTCTTAAACTGGCTATTCAAACCTCACTGTTACAAGGGCAGTCAGGTATAGCTTGCTTCATAATAGACTAATGTGAGGGGGAAAAAAACAGCATACGTTTAAAAACAATAGAAGTGATTTCATGTCCCTGTGTGTTTTGGTCACCTCTTCTATGCAGTGAGGATAGAACACAGAGACACAGAATTGGCTTGGGCTCATATAGCCCAGGTCCTTTTATGAAGACATATTAAACTGTCAGCCTGAGCCTCCAAAGGGTAAATTTAATCATGATTCTAAGCATATGAAGAATTTCAGGATCTTCTGAGGTTTTGCTGCAAAATCTACAAACTTGATAATTCTCCTCCATTCACAGTCATGGACTTCTAAACTATGAAAGGAGACTGTGTTTGTTTGTTTGTTTAATTACTAAGACCTAGGTTTACAAAAGATACAGAACACTTGTCTATGCAATATTCTAACCATTTTTGTGATTATACTTGTGAAAACATTTTGTAATGCTGCATTCTAATTCTATTATAGTTTATTTTAAAACTGAGTCCTCAAACTTTCAAACAGGCCTGCTGTCAGCATGCTTGGAATGACCTGTCTTGATTTTCAGCTGAGGGTGAGAGGGGTTAGGCCTCTGGACCAGTGGAATTTACTTGTGCAGCTTTTGGTCCCTTCCACTAGGTCCTACCTCTTGAACCTTTGAGCCATACTAGGAAGTAACTTATGTATAAGCCTTAACTCCTGGCCTTTCCTGCATTAATAATATTTTATACAGGGTTTAAGCCTCTGGCCATTTAGTCATAGCACTTAACCTTACTGATCATACCTCTCAAACATTCTTCTGTTAATTCCTACCTTTTCTATGCTGAGCTCCCTCATTCTACTGCTTCTAACCACAAAGAATGCTTCCATTCCAAATGGTTGCAGGGAAGGAGAAAATGCGATCTCTTTGTGTCAGACGTTTCGGCAGGACTGCCTTATGCAGTGAATTATAGACTAAAGATTTGGCCTGAATTTGGAGAAGGAAAGACCTGAGAATTGTCACTTACCAAGGCTACCTGTGTTCATCCTGAGAGATACTGGGGAGGAGAGTGAAGGGAGATTTGTCAGGTGAGACACTTGCCCCTAGAATGTGGAATAAATCACATTGCTACTCCTCAGGAACTGGACCATAGATAGTACAGGAACTGAGGCAAAAATAAATGTAATCTGTAATGGCTTCCGTGGGCTGCACAGACTTGTGTCTGTTGAAAAATTAAACCACATGGTTCCTTTTTTGGGAGATGAGTTTCATGTTATGAATTAGGTGGCATTTAAACAACAGGAAATGTGTCCCTACATGGAAACAAATATAATCCCACAAAACTGACATTTTTATCTTCCTCCACCATATTAATTGATCCCTCTCCTCATCTCAGCCCCGGTGCCATCCACTGAAGGAAAAGCAAATAACTAGAACTAGGACTGACTTCCTCATTTTTGTCCATGTCCCAGTGACAGTCATTCAAGTGTTGGGATACTTCCAGCTTGGGGACATGTCCTGTACGTTTTCCAATGTGACTGGTTAGTGATATGGCTTCATCTAAGAAATTCACTTTTGAGTGCTTAACCTTTGGTTCTTTTGCTGTTGTTGTTTTTTAAATTGATTGTTTTAGGGAGAGAGAGAGAAACACCAATTTCACTTATTTATGTAATCATTGGTTGATTCTTGTATGTGCCCTGACCAGGAATAGAACCTGCAACCTTGGCACATCGGGACAATGCTCCAACCAACTGAGTACCTGACCAGGGCCAAGCCTTGGTTCTGAAGCCGTTATTATTCCTTCCAATCTAGATCTTAACTCAGAGGTAAAACGTGAATCACTACCATTCTGTTCGTTTGAAGGTTTGTTGCTAGAGCCGAAGATTGCTTGTCTGACCTTTGTTCTTCATGCCCGCTAAACCCTGGCACACCCTCCGAGCATTTACCTGATTTACAGAGTATGAATCCTGTTTTGCATCCAGCATGATCATAAATATATCTGATTCAGTAACTTGTGGGACAGCTGAGAGAATACAGGCTTCCCAGCTGTTTCTCCAGGCGGATCTGTTTTTTCTCTGTCAAATAAATTTCCTGCTTTCTAATTGGTATATTGAAAGGAGAAAGGCCAACGTAGTCTGCCTTTTTCCACTGCAAAGTCCATCAGCTCTTTCCATGAATGCTCCAAGAAGTACCTCCTGGTTAAGCCCCAGTCTGTGTGTCTCTGACCACAGTTCTGCTGTCATTGGCAGGACTGTCATGCAAAGCAGAAGGTCACCAGTTCGATTCCTGGACAAAGTACATACCTAGGTCAGGGGTTTGGTCCCCAGTCAGGGTTTGTGCAAGTATCTCTCGCACATTGATGTTTCTCTCCCTCTCTTCTCATTCTCCCTCCCCTCCCCTCTCTCACTCCTATGGCACATGGGCTACTGGTGGAGGACAATGTGGTTTGGGAGGGTGTTGGTGGTACTTGTCAGGTCTTTCAAAACATTAACCATTCCTTTTATAATGAAACTTCTAAAATGAACTACAAAGAGTATGCTTTGGTGCTTTAAATTACGTATTTATTATTTTAAGTAAGAAACTTTAGTACCAATTGACCTAATTTAGGTATTTTATATGTAAATAAAATATGTCTCTGCTGATTCTGGGGTTTGGTCAAAGCAGATAGGCTAAGGAGAATAGTATTAGTTCTAAATTCAAATTAGTATGCTAGGTCAAGTTACTTAAGATTCAGTTTTCTGAGATATTAATTGTAACATTAAAGCTAATTTATTATAAGAAAATGTAAACTTTGAAGTGTATTAACATAAACATTTCTCTCAGAGGTATGATTGGCCCAAAATATCCCTGGTCTTGGGCACACTGGGTAAAGTTCAGGTTAGACACAATTGATTGTCTGGCACTTTTTATATATAAGTGAAATATAAACAGTTCAAACAAGTTAAAGGAGAGAATAATTAATTGTATAGGACAAGAAAATGTGTTCAGAATGAATCTGGCTTTAGTCTTGTCCATCAGCCCTTAGTGATGTATATTCATTTGACAGTTTGGGGGAAGCCTTAACTTCCTAGGTTAAACCAGAATGTCCTGAACTGAGCCATCCTAGTTTCATCTTAAAGTGGTTCATTTTTCCCAGGATGTGACTCTTTCCCATGACAGAAGAGGTCCCAGTGTAGCTTTAGAGCTGGGGTATAAAGACTATTGGTACCTCTTGTCCTGCACGCTGCCATGTGCATCGTGGAGTGGGAAGCCCATTTGGACTGCTGGGCAGCCAGGTAGAGGATCTGTTCTTTACGCATCGAGCACCTAGCCAACCTGCCTCCTAGAAAATAGTTCTTCATGAAGCATTTACTTGGAAAAATTCTTAACCTTGTTCTTTGTATTTACTGACATTTGTATTCTAAACTGTGTACCAATGTTCGTATTTAACATTGATTTTCTAACCATTTAGAGATATTTAAATAAAACTTGTAAATAAAAGAGCAAAAATGCAGTTTGGTTCCCTTTGGTTTGAATATTATTTTTTAGGTCTTTGTGGCACTAGATGAGGCCAGCCTTGGTTTCACTACCTTTATCTGGCCAGGGAAGATTTTAGTCTGTTCAAGAATCCAGTAGGAAAAGAAAAGAATCTACCAAAAAGACAAGTTTTCTCATCAAATTTTTGGTGGCTGCCAGCCACACAGGAAATCTTTAGTGTTAAACATGAAACCTGAAAAGAAAAGAAGGAAAAAGAAGTGAAGGCTTTTGCGGTGAGGGTTTCTACACACTCAGTTCCAAGGCCTGTCTGCTGGGATTTCATATTATTTAAATGAGCTTGTTAGATCTTAGATTATTCATTAATCTTAAATGCAGAGCCAGGTTTGGGGAAAGTCTAGGCAGCTACCTGAGTTAAAGACCCCACTCCAGCCCTGACTGGTGTGGCTTAGTTGATTGAGCATCATCGCGCAAAGCAAAGAGAAAGGTCACCGGTTTGATTCCCGGTCAGGGCACATGCCTCGGCTGAGGGTTGGCCCCCCGCCTTGGGGCACTTACAAGAGGCAACTGATCAATGTATATCTCTCATATCGCTGTTTCTGTCCCTGTCTTCTCATTCTCCCTCCCTTCCCATCTCTCTAAAAAAAACAAAAGTCCCCACTCAATCTCACCCCCACTAGAGATATATAGCTCGTAAGGACTGCTCTAATGGATACTTCTTAAAATGAAAATACATTATTATGAATTAATAATGTTATTAACATTAGTCATTAACACTTTAGTGTGTTGGGTAGTTGCACTGGGCCTTGAGGAGGAGCAGATTTTGGAATGGAACAGTGGAAAAGGGAGTGTCTAAGTTCTGATTAGGATGACTTGAGGAGCTGTTTCCCTCTTTTTAACATCGTAAAACAGGTTCAGAAGTTGAGACACTTGCCCCTGACACCATGGTAGAGCTGGACTGAGACAAGTCTGCAGTCCCTGCACTTGTCCTAATACTGGCTCTCAGAAAGAAATAGTAATTACAAAAAAAAAATGAAGAAATAATAATTCACACAACATCTCTTATTGCCCGATGTCAGCCCAGGGTGGTTGGAGATGGGGCAGAGAAGTGCTGAAAAAAGCTAGGTATACTTAACATATACATTTCAACATCCTGTCATTTTGGAGCATGATAAAAATAGAGCTTAATTTAAAATTAAGCTCTTTGGTCTCTTTAACCAGAGGCAGGGAGGAAACTTATACTGGTTTTTTTTTTTTTCCCACCTCTAGAGCTTTGTTTTCATTTTACTTGACGCTGCTAAATGCCTTTAAGTAATTCTCAGGCTGGTGACCCTCTGAACTGTGGGTGGCTGGCGCTCCAGGCAGCCACGTCTCGGATGAGTGAAGCTTTACTGGACTTCTGTGGGTCAGAGTGTCTTTGCTCCTTTGGCCCCTGACCTGATCTGCTCCACGTGGAAAATCACCCGTCTGGGAGGAGCATGTGGAGAGTGAGCAGGCCAGAGTTTGCATTTCTGACCTTTGCTGGCAAGGAAATAAGTTGGCCAACCATGTTACTTTCCCCTACTCCCCTGGAAAAGTAGTCTGTAGAGAGACTTTCCAAAGCTGGCTCTGTCTCAGATCTTAACCCTCCTTGCCTTCCTGGGGTTCTGGAAAGCCCTCACTTGCCCAACTCCCCCATTCTCCGTGCAGCAGATGAACAGAAGAAATGTCTGCCATGAGCTGCCGCCCTGTCCAGTCCACGCAAACTTTATGTGTCCCAGAGCCTGACATGCTGAGCTGGCCAGGGATGGCTCCATCCAGCTGGGACTGAGAAGCCCATGACACGGGGCACAATGGGGACAAGGAGAGACCAGTCCAATGGAAGGAGCACAGGGGTGAGTCCAGTCCAGCAGGTCTGGGGACGGGCTCTGGGGACATTGGGGACATTGGATGTAGGGTGAGAGTTGCGGTGAAGGCTGAGGGGGAGCTAGCCAGACATGGCTGGTGGGCAAGAAGGAGCCCCTCAGGTGGTCTCCAGGAATGAAAGTGTGAGCAAGGCCATGCAGTGACCTCAGAAAGGATTATGGGCATGCCTTGCTCTTTGTTGGCATGGAGATGGGATAGCGACAGCACAGAAAGTCCTTCCTCAATCCCCACTTTCCTTGCAGGCACTGCTGGGCGATTGTCCTGTTTCTCTCCTCCCCTATCCCCATCCCTGTAACATCAGGTTCAGGCCCCTGTCCCATTGATTCTAGAATGAATGAGGAAGGATGAGGAGACAGATGGAGGGAGGGGTGGATGGATGGATGGACAGATGGACGGATGGTTGAGAGGAACAGATAAAAAGGAACCTGCAAAACAGAGAGAATTCAGAGAAGCAGGAGGAAAAGTGTCAGTGGTGGTGTGGGCGTGAGGAGTGTCTGGTACCAGAAAAGATCATGGGTCAGGACGGGTGGAAATTAATGATTACTAAAAAAAAGAGTCACTGGAAAAAGGTGGCAGCCACTGTATATTCTTACCTGGGACTCAGGACTCAGGACAGGCCTGGATGGTGAGGTGGAGGTGGAGTTGGCCCTGTGAGAAGAAGTTGACTGAGCTGCTGGGATGACTCTTCCTCTGAAACACAGCAGTGCAGTGAGTCGGGGACAGGGAGTTTTGTCAATAAGACAAGGTGCTCCTTGGTTTATTGCAGGGGAGAGGATCCGTGGGTTCCCTTGGGGTCCCAGGGCCTTTGTGGGCCCTGCACTGTGCCTTGGCATGAAGGGGTGGAGGAGTTGCGCCTCTTCTGAGCCCTGTCTTGTGGCTTGGTCACTAAATCCCAAGGATATCCCGATGAGAGCACTAACAGGGAGCCCTGGGCAGGCACAGACCCTTCGCTGTGGGAATCTGCAGTAAAGCAACACAAAGCAGGAGGCTGCCTCTAGATGTCGCCATCCAGCCATGTTGGCATCAGCAGCAGCTGCCGTAGTGTCCCTGAGGCTCACCCCTAGGTGGAGCAGCATCTCCCTGGGACTGCAACCTGGAACACCATCAGAAAGCCTCACCGGATACTGGACGTCCTTGGAGTGAGGGGTGGGGGAAGGACCCCGTCCTGTGCTCAGTCACTCAGCCCTGCCTTGTAGGGAAGGGGTTGCTGGGGTCCCAAGGCGTGCTACCGGTGACAGGGGAGTGGCTGCCACCTTTTGCAGTCTCCCCCAATGTGGGAATCCCCCTCTGTGGACTGCCCCGTAACTCTGAACCCTTCCCACTCCACCCCCTCCATTCCCTGCAGCCAGTCCCCGCAGCCACCCTCCCAGCAGCTCTGGGGTTCATCCCCTCCTGCTCATCCCCTGCCCCGGCCCCAAGAATGGTCCAAACCACCTTTATCCTTTCCCACCGCCAACAACAGCTGCCCCTGGCCAAGTCCACCCAGTACACAACAGTCAGAGTGATCACGGTCAGGCTCGAATCTAAGCATGTCACTCCTGCTCTGAATCCTTCCATGGCTCCCCATCACCCTGGGGAAAAATCTCAGAATCCTTCTCCCCAGGCTGTGTGGGTGCTATGGGCCCACGGGGATGAAGGAGTAAGAAAGAGCACTTGTCTTCCCCCACGCACTGAAGTCACCTCTTTCAAGAGCTGGGCTGAGCCCCTGTCACCCCAGAGGATGGAGCCTGGAACCCTCCACATTTTGCTCCTTGTTGTGGTTTCAAGGGGGACCACAAATACTCCTCCAGTCAAGAGTTGGGGTCTATCAGTATTTCCCCTCCTCTTGAATGCAGGTGGAGGGAGGGAAGGGCTTAGCAATTTGCTTATAACCAACAGAATACAATAACCAAGTAACACTAGGGATTGGCAAAGCTAATGTGCAACTAAGTCTTGATAATTGGCGAGTCTGATAACCATTATGATGGTTAATTTTGTGTTAATCTCCCTGGGTTAAGGTAAAACATTATTTCTGGGCATGACTGTGAGGGTGTTTCTGGATAATATTAGCATTTGAATCAATAGACTGAGTTAAGAAGTCAGTGGGCATCACCCAATCCACTGAGGGCTGGAATCGAACAAAAAGGCAGAAAAAAAATGTACTGCTTATGAGCTGGAACACCCCTATTCTACCCTTGGACATCTGGTGCTCCTGGTTCTTGGGCCTTTGGACTCATACTGGGACTTACACCATTGGCTTCTCTGGGTCTTAGGCCTCTGTGTTTGGACTGGAGCCACATCCCTGGCTTTCCTGGGCCTCCAGCTTACAGACAGCAGATCAGGGAACTTAGCCTCCATAATCATGAGTCAATTCATTATAATAAATCTCACTATCACCTGAAGCAATCATTATGAACCCATTTTACAGATGGTGAAACTGAGTTTGGAAATGTAAAATGATGTGCTCAAGGTCACAAAACTAGTAAATACAGAGCTGAGTTTTGAACCCTGGTGTTTGACTCCAAAGCTTTCATGCGATTGCTAAGCAATCATTCAATTCTGTTGAATATTTATTCATTTGATGAAAAAAATACATGCCCTATCTGCTTTCCAAAAGCCTGACAGGAAGGAGTGAGCTATCTGTCCATGGAAATATTTTAGTAGAAGCTGGGGAAACACTAGGCAAGATGTGAATTGGATGGACTGTAGGGGCATCCCACCCTGAGGCTGGGCTCTCTGCTTGTGCCTGGGATGGGGCTGTGTGGATATAACACAGGACAGACACTGTTTATGGCCTTTCCCTGTGTCCCATTCAGTATGGCCTATGGGGTTTCGAGGGCAAGAGCAGGTGGAAGCTAGGGGGTGGTGCTGGCCTTAAGCAGGCAGAAGGGAGCTGCAGACCAGTCTGCCTGCTCCTCTGGCCCCGTGGCCCTGGGCTGGTCTCTGATTCCCCTCCCTGCCCTGGGCCTGGCACCCCTGGCCCCAAGGAGGGCCAGAACTCATCAGTTACACAAAGAAGCCTAGGAGAGGCCTAATCTCCTGCCCAGCACCTGTCAGAATTCTGAGCGGTGGGGGGGGGGGGGT